TACACTTTCTTTCTAGAACAGGTTACAACTTCTAGAATGATTAGAACAGGTTCTAAAGAGGCTAAAGGTATGTAGTTAGTAAAAGCCTTTTAGATAGAGGTTTATACATATTAAGCTAGTTCTACTTGTAACTACTGATCTAGTAGGACAGTAAGGGTGGTAGTTAGTATAGAAGGGTCTATGTTTATACTACAAAGGAATCAGTACTAAACTAAAAGGGGTAATGAATAGAAGAAGAGTGGTAAAAGTTTAAAAGGGTTTAAAAAGTTTAAAATTTAAAAATGTAAGAGGGTTAGGACAAAGAAAAGAGATTAATATAATAGTAAGTACTAATACTCAAAATGTAGGAGAGTTATAGGGTAGTAATAGGTAGTCTTAATCTAATGTTAGTAATAGTATAGAGGGGACCTGAAGGCTTAGTGAGGGGACTCAGACTACAACTATCTTACACAATAGAAATACAGAACACAAGTACTAGAACATAGTTAGAACTTGTAGAATAGGTAGAGAGAGAGAGTAAGACAAGAGTAGAGTATATAGAGTAAGTCTAAGAGTACAGGACTATTTAGAGTAAACAAGATCAAGACTATAGAACTAGTCTGATCTTGTACACCTATATATACTAAACTATACAAGAGTACTTAGAGAGTATAAGCTACTAAGAATGATAAGTCACAAAGAATAAAAGAAAGGAATGTCAAAGATAAAGGTACAAAGAATGAAGGGATAGACAAAGGGTAAGAGACTATAGAATGAACAGAGAATAAAGGGGTAGTTAAAGGAATGGAATAATAAAGTAAGGAAGGGTAGTAGTAAGAGTTAGTATACATATAGTCTATAGACAGTACCCCTGAGGGATAGAAGTCCTGAGTTCTAGTATCATTGGGAAAAAGTCTAAAAGGTTATATTACATTATAATGGTGTGAAAAAAGTAAAAAAAGTAAAAAAAGTAATTTACATATTATCGGACCTCGATTTCTGATAAAGTAGTATAACTTTGTATAAGGTACTGTAAGGTTTATTAATGTAATAAAAGTACATAAGGGTAATACCCCTTTTAAACATATAAAATGCATAATATCGGACCTCCCTTTTTTGAAATGTATTGTAAGGATTACCAAGTTTTGAAAGGGTAATACATGTTTGTAATGTTTTACAGAGACTATACATAGTTATTATTTCTTAATAATAATAATTTCCCCTTACATCCATTCATTATTAAAATAACAAAAATCAATTATATTAAAATATTTGTACGATACATCATTATCTACAATAATTAAGGAAAATAAACCGAAACACATACATAGTGCAGCCTGCATCAAGATTTGTGCAGAGAGTGAGTGAGGTCGTCATTAGGTAGAGGTTGGGATCGGACCAGACTCGAACGGCGAACGAGTGCATTACAGGTGTCGATTGCCAGGCCCATCCCTTGACCAGATCCAGA